AACTCCGTCGCTCCAGGGCTAGGGACCCATATCGGATCCGTTTGCGATGCCCTGTCAGTGGAGAAACTATTCACTTTTGATTCAGGATACATTAGTATGCAAATACGTACTCGATCATGCGCTTCATAGCAGCAAACTGCTCAGCAACAGTAGCGTTGGGAGATGTAGATGCGAAGTGAACATGGAATTCCTGCTGCAGGAGTTTGCGTGGTAGGTTACCATGAGTTATGTACAGGTTCCAGTGTTTGTTCCAAGACTTGGAACGATTGGCTGAGACATCATCAGCCCACACGGTAATCCAGCTGGAGTACAAGGGTTCGCCTTGAGCGAGACGGTGGAGGGAGTTGGGCATTGCTGATAAATGATGCTTCGAGCGTTCTAAAAGGCATGCTTCAGTATCTGAAGAAAGCCATTGTAATTCCTAAGCATACCACAGCAGGGCGGAAGTTGTCTTCGCTCACATAGGTCAAAATAGTTGAGGATGAGATCAGCGGCTTTGATGTTCACAAGCCGCTGGTCGTCGATCAAGTATGTTGCAGTCCCATCGTTGTTTGGTGTCACGGGCCATGCATCGGCCCATAGTTCTTTCCCATCACGAAGCTTCCAACGTCTCGGGATTACGAAGTTGCCACTGCGTACCATTGCTATCTCATTCACGTAGTAATAATTTCCGAAGTCATCCAAGTAATGCGGGCAGAGATGCTCGAGAGGCGTTTCCTTTAACAGCTTCTCGCCATGCCAAACTCCTGATATGGGCCCACTGGTTTCGTGGGGGTAATGAACCATGAGTGGCCGAGTCAATGGGTTAGAATAGTCCTACGTGCAATAGCCGTCAGACATTACACATGATCCTACTGGACCTTGTAGACGTACCTTCGCAATTATTGCGCCGATATCGTTCATATAGAAGTTGTTACCAAGAGGTGATCGGCACTTGACAGTTTTGATACCAGATTCCTTGCGCAGTTTATCTTGAAGCTTTCGAAAGGCATCGAATGATGGAACCTGCGCTGCACCTGCTTCACGCATAACCCATAGGAACACCTGCATGAGATTGTCAGATATGCGCAAGCGCGGGAGATTATCTAGCGTGTCAAGCAGGAAAGTCTACAGCCAGGAATGGGGCGTGAGCTATGTACATAGGCAGACACACTGGATGTCTAGCTACCGTCTTATTAGGATAAGGGAACCATTCTTCGGATGGGGTAGATGCTCTGTATCCAGTAAACCCGTGCTGTTTTGCATGACTCTCATCTTCATTAGGATCAGCAGTAAAGGCTGTCTCAGAGCGTGTCAATAAACAGCGCAAGCATCACACAATATAGTACCCACCCGCTGTTTGCATATCTTGCATGACATTAGTAGAGAAGCTATCAATAAGCTCTTCATCGCAGAATCCATCTCGTTGAGCACGTTCGCGGTCTGACTCGATGCCCAACGAAGCACCCATTCTTATGGACGTTGAGAGCGTGAAGTCACGGTACTCATCCTGAAGCTGATTGTACATCGCTCCTGTGGATATTCCGCCCATTTCAACGATGATGTTATCTTGGTATAGCGAGTACGATGGTTTGGACGGCTTCTCAGAAGCCCTATTTGCTGCCCTGCTGGGTCGGCACCATGCACGTAAGACGGCTTCTTCTGAAATATTGTCAGCAGCACGAGCACTTTGTTCTTCTTCTCGTTGCTCTGCGACTACTCTGTTCATGTGCTTAACCGCATTCTGATGGGTGATATATGTTAGATGGGCCGTCAAAGCTGTCCGGCCCAGCGATCGAATACTGCCAGTATACAAGTCGCAGGGCTTGCATCTATACCGGTCATCCGAAATCTCTTCAAAGCCTGAAAGATTCCAGTCAACCAGGACTGGACTTAAATTGGTGAGTACTTACAAGGATCAACGGATTTCTTGCTTCCGCGAGCGGGCATTTCGTTCAATATATCCTTCAGTTAATGGATCAAGTGCAATGCACCAGAGCAATTTGGCACGAATCTCAGTCTGAGGCAAACAAGTGCCACAGGCCGGGCCTCGTGTCAATCTGCAGAGCCACACAAAGCCACACGTATTATTTAAGCAAGACGCGTCTCGCGTGGCACTCTTCGCGCCACTCTCTTGACTTCACCCACCACTCTGCCTCCAGCTGAAGAAAATCAGTCTCATTTTCCGCTCTGTGCTCTTCAAAAAATCGTATTGCTTGCCTTTCGAAGTCACTATGGTCGATTTGAATCGCCTGTCATCTGCGATGCAGGTCCCGCATCGGCCGCAGTCTCCTGCCACACCAGCTCAGCGATCATCATCAGCACCACCATCCCCAGAGAATCGAGGTACAAAGCGTACTTACGATGCATTTAGTGGACTTGATACGTTAGACGAAGAACAGGAAGAGCACCTGGGCGATTTGGCACGTAATCCTTCAAATAGTTCACCCTTCCTATCTTCCACAGCCCTGGGTCGTTCACAAGGGATGAACTTGAAACTGTTAGGAAGCGATGTCCTAACTAATCGTCTTGAGATAACTGGGCCACGTGCCAACAGTTATGTCGTCACTACCTCAGTAAGCGTACTGAAAGGTAGGTCTGGCCAATGCCAACGGTCAAGTCAAGAGTCCAGGTAATCGCTGTATTCAACAGGAGGTTGAACTAAGGAATACATGGGTTTCCTACAGTATATATAGTAACTGGTATAGGGGTTAATACCCAA